ATACTCAATTAACTGTTAAGATACTTTATGTATGTGTACTTACCTATGAATTGAATTTAACAATGTATAAAAGCATATAGACGGCAGCGAATCGGGCCCTAGAATAACTCTTTTGGATGCTTCCCTCAATGCTTTAACTTTTTCCAACTTATCTGCATCCTTACTAAATTATAAAAGTTAGGAGCAAAGGTTATCAAAACATTATTACAGAAATAATAGAAAAATATATATTTACAGATAGATTTATCTTACAGATTAGGCAATGGCATCCTGCCTACAGCTGGTGCGTTTGGATCAGTCTTAGTTTTTTTTGAAAACAAAGGATCTTTTTTTGCTTTTTTCTTTTTCGGTTTATCTCCGTCTCCTCCGCCAGTATCATCCTCTTCTTCTTCGGCTGGTGCCACACACTGAATATCTGGTTCCTTTAGAAGTCCATAACAGACTTTAGCTTTGTTATCTGCACAAAACAATTTGTTAATAGACATCTCTAATTGAGTTAATATTAGAGGATATTCGACTTTTGGTCTTAGAGATATCAAAATTAATACCTTGTCTGGTAGCTTCGCCTACCATAGCACCAGATGTGGCATCTATCTGTTGTTTATTACGAGCAACACCTTCATACATATCAAAGTAAAGATGTTCCTGTATGATGTTTAATAAAACGCTATACTTCTTTTCTTGTAAATGTCGTTTTAGAATCGAAAGAGTATCCCTTGACATTCTAATTATGAACTGATTAGACCTGGAAAAATGAATGGTTTATGTGGTTATTTGAGATTAGATCTACATTATATCTAGTTATATATATATATATAATTATATCTCTTGTTCACTTGAATGTGTCAGTTAATTCATTTCCTGCCATCTGTTCTCTTTTTGTCACATTACATATTTTTTTAAAATCATCTTGATAATATTCTTCTAAATTTCCATTGAATTTTTCCGCAAGTTGTTTCGCTTCTTGAGAATGATTATTATACACTAACTCTAGGTACATATGCACCAGAACTGGATATAATATGGTACCCAATTCATGCTATTATTAAAATTGACAAGTATTAATAATAAACTTATAATAATAGATTATTAACAATAGATTAATATTTGATTTGATTTTTTTTTTGTATATGTCTATTAGAATCTTACTTTATAAATATCTAAGGCACCTTCCACAAATTTTTTCATTTCACTGTATGCTTTTTCATATTGCGCGGGATCACCCTCGCTTTTGTAAGCAGAAAGAACACTGGTTACTTCAGAATCGGTTTGTTGAGTATCCTCAGAAATATCTGTGAGATTAGCCTCTTTTCTGAACAGTTCTTCAGTTCCCTAAAAACCATTAAACAAATCCCATAAAATATTAACAAATATATAGGATTTATTATATTGCTTAGCATATAACATTTATATTTTAGTAAACATACACATACAACAGAGGATAGGTAAAACACACAGTAGAACAGGTTAAGATACAGCGAAACAGTTAAAATTAATAAAACTTACTTTTAAATTATACTTTTTTAGAAACTGTAAAACAGCGAGCGCCGTATTTTTGTCGTTATCCATTTTTTTAATACTTTTTATGATACTTAATTCAGAATTATCTCACTAGCACCATCCGAACACAACAAACTCGTTTAAAGTCGAAGATTGGTGCAAGTATGGCTCTTTGGACCGAAACTAACTAGTCCATACGCCAGTCTAAGTCAAAAGAATATATAAAGAATATTATGGCAAAAGCGCCAGTCTATGTCAGAACGCAGATACAAAGACCACTGTAGCAAAACATACGCTAGATTCGACTCTGAGACTGCGCATGCGACACATCGTGCTTCCTGCATCCTGTCCTTCACAGCCTTTTAGTTGCGCTTTTGCAAGTATTTTCCTTTCTTACTGCTTTTACACGCACTTATTACAAGTAAGTACGTACTTCTGTCTAATACTACCCG